GACACCATGCTGCCGGATTGGACAAGGGAAAGAGAGGCGCGACGACGGCTGGGAAATTTCAGTGGCTCCCAGGGGGGAAGGACAAGAACAGCGCCCGTGTTAAGGGGGTCAGGGTGTGCGCCCGGTGAACGGGATGGAGCGTCCTAGCGGCCCCAACGACCTTCTAGAAAACGACCCTCCGGTGCGACATGTGCGTGCGCGCACACCCGACTAACACCTGTCTTTGCAGGGAGAGGGGTGAGGACTTGCGTTGTTGTGGCCAGGGGGGGAGGGGTGGTGATTCGACCCGTGGCAGTGGGTGTAATTTCGTCGCCTGGAAAACCTGACCAGGGGCCTGTCATGGACAACTTGTCATACTGTACGGAACATGACTTTGTGAAGGCCAGGTTGTTGGAGAATCTCTAATAACCCCTCGACGCGTGTGGTCGCACCAGCCATGGGTGGCAGTAGCAACGTGATGTGTAATTGTTTTTCGCCGGAGCTGAGACCTCCCCGGTTAAATCTCAATTTTTTTCTGGAAATGACAGAGAATGGCTCACCCCATCCATGGATGACTCCCTACCGCACAAGAAGAAGCAAGTCGAGGGTGCGTGCTGTGTTGTGGGTGTTGTGGTGCTGCAGTAGGAGAGGCGTCTGTGCTGTTGCAGTGCTGTACCACCAAATCGTACAGGGTCTGCATCACGTTAGCTAGTGGCAAACCAGAACAGGGGCATAGGACCAGCAGTTGACGTCGGAGGCCTGCTACTCAGCGCTGACCTGGAACATTTCAGTTTCCGATACCGCGGCGGAGTCTAGAAGCAGTCGCGTTCCTCGCCTCCTTGAACCTCCTCCGAAAGAAAGCAGAGATAAATAGTATTGGCCATGTGGCTGGTGATGATGCGTTGTCATGAGTGCGAATTAAAGTTGTTTGAGGTTCGATGCTGAACAGGCGGCTCTAAGCCGTAATAGAATGACGATGTGAGTGTGCAGAGTCAGAGGTGGTGACACTGAAAATAGTCCATTAATAGTTAGATGCCATCTCCTTAGCGACGCTTCATTGGCCGTGGCCAGGCTACATGCCCGTTGCGTGGCGTGAGCTTGCTGCCCTCGGACGAGATACGCGTGGTTGACGAGACCTCCCCCGTTATAGGAGGCTGGGGGCTGGGATCACCTATCTCTCCAGCTGGACTGGTAGCTTCACTGAATGCTCAGGCAAAACATTGTCGACCCAGGAGAGAGGGAGCCTGTGGACAACGTACTGGAATCATTCCTATTCGACAAAAGCCAGCAGAGACAGGGAGAATCTGGTAGAACGTCTCCACTAATCCACAGGTTGGCGGGGTCTTCCGCCGATGATGCTAAAGCCTGTTCGTTCCTGGCCTATCCAGTCGTATCATGGGCCCCTTCCCCAGTCCTCCCCAGCCCGGCCGGCACTGCACAGAAGGCGGGCGGATGCTGCTGGAATGACGATTCGGAGGCTGGGAAGCTAGCCAACCTAGGCTCGAATGGAACTTGGATTGGAAATCGGGACGTCCCAGGCTGGCGTTAACATCAGGCGAGACAGTACAAACAATTGGAGCCTGCTGCTCTACGTGCCTCCTGTCGAATCGCGATTTGTAAATGAATCGCGAAATTCGGGCTCTCATGCAGGGGGCAGGACCGAGCTGCGAGTAGCTGAGTCGA